TGATCATATTCACTACCTGGTTATATAGAACTTTCATTCCAGGAAGCATGAATGTGACATATACACAATATTAATGGTCAGCAGCAAATATTTTTGTTGGGGTGGGGAGTGAGGGGGAAAAGTAGAGAAAAGGCATTTACCATATAGGATGCAATTTTAAATGCTCTAAATCGGGCTAATAAACAGTAAACTTTCAAATATCTTAGATACATATTAAAACATATTTGAAACAAAATCTCAAGCAACTAAGAGAGCTTAGAAGAAAAAGATTATTAAAATAGTAGTAGTAATAATAATTACTATTGTAATTAATCTCTATTACACTATTTTTATAATAAGGGAAGTCACAGACACTGTATCTCCAGATGTCTAAAAACCTTAATAAATATATAGGGTTTGTAGAAAACACGACCTTATTGGGCTGCCCCTTATATTCAATTTCAAGGTAAAATTTAAACCTCAGCCAAGAGAGCAGCTTCCAAGGCCTCAAAAAACACTTAAATCCTATACTATCTTTGGTTATTTTTCCTTATTCCAACTCTGAAAAAATAAATATATTCAGGACATTAAAATCAGAAACATTGTAACTGGATTGAAATTACCATATTGTTAAGTGTATTAAAAATGTCTAGCATTATGTATGAACTCTGAACTATTAACATAAATTTGAAGTATCATACAATTTTAAAAGCTAAACATTTAGAAAAGTATTGATACAAGATATACTTTACATTCAAAATCATGGATTATTACAATACAGCTTTCAGCCTGCCAGTAGAGGATCAAATGCAACAAAAACATATTGCAACAAATGTATTTAAATTAGCTTAAAAATATTACACAGAGTTAACACATTGCAAACAAATATTCAGTCAATTGAGTTATGAAGCAGTAATTTTAACATCCAGAGCTACAATAACTAATCATATACAGTATCAGACAGACATGTAATCATGATAAATATGTTAAACAACTTTAATTTTTGCTAGTTAAAAAAAAATCCCTTTTGAGTTATTTTTGGCATGGTGCTGGAGGCTTTCTCAAATAACTGGATGCAAAACATTGCTTCTTTACAAGTCCCCAGCATGCAGCACTCAGAGTCTTCCAGTTAAAATGTAGGCTTGTTCATGTATTCTTCCAATGTCTGAAAAAGAACAATAAATTAGAACGATTTTCCCTTAAGCCACATTCTTTAGCAGCCTGTGAAATCTTTTTCATTGCTTATTTCTTTGCCATTATTGAAAAGTAGCTTTGAAAAGTATTTACGGACATAAATCTTTGCATTCCAATGGTTCAAAGTTTGAATATCATTTGTATACACATCCATATGGCTGGAACTAACTTTCAACCAAGAAGAAACTAAGCTTGATCATAAAGTTAATGTCTGATAAGACAAATACTAAAGTGATAGCTGCCAAGATATCACTGTTGACTTCAGATAAGTGTGTCTGCTGAAATGATGAGGACCATCACCAGGCATATGTATGCGAGAAAGCTGAATCTGTCTATATAACATGTAATTTTACAGATACTGTACAGAATCTCTTTACTACACTATTGCCAAGATATAATGGATGAACGATGATAATTCTGAAGATTCTTTGCCACATATTTTGCAAAGATTTTCCTCTAAAGTATACAAATTATGTTTCTTCATCTTCCTCATTAGTCACCCTTGCTAACATGGCACAAGACCATAATTTTTTTTCCAGCACTTTAAAAAAAAAAATATTTGAATGGGTTCAAATTACAGGCAGAGTTCAAAGTTACAGTGATGTTATAAGCCCTTGGCCATGCATGATGGATGGACTTTCTCTTGCACTTACTCTTATAACATTTGTATAATACAGTGGCCTCTGGGTTGAATCAATGAAGGAGATCAAGGTAGGGAGCCTTAGGCAACACCTCTGCCTTTGAGAGCTCAATCTGTGATGCTCAGTGTGCTCTTAAGCCTGAACCCCAGGGTACGTGATTCACTTGCACCTGCCAGGAGCACGTGAACTAGCACAGATCAAACAGACCAAGTCTGAGGCCAAGCAAGATTGCTCAGAGGACACCAGCGCTATTTAGAATTCCAGTGCTCCTCTGCTGAACGTACTTGTGGTCAGTCATTCACATGTTCCTATCAGGCTCTTATACCTCCTAGATGAGCAGTGGCCAAGAGAAGCCCACACCCTAAGACCTCTGCCCTGTATCTTCTCCTAGAGATGCTGCTCGTGTGTTGAAACTTAGCAAGGGTATCGTATTGGCTAGGGACCCAGGCCTGTTTTTTGGTAGCTAAAGTTCATACCATTTAAAAAGGAGTGCAAAGTCACAAACACAAAAGTGGGCATAAAGCTGATTTAGAATGAGAAAAGAAATGAGAGTGGATCGCAAATTTTTCAAAGGTGACGAGTATCACAAAATCCACAGCAATAGCATGTGGTTGTCAATCATTAAGTGCCTGACACGCCTCTATAATATCTTATTTTCATTGGACGGCTACATATTCTTTGCAGTTATGCTATGTTGCCTTTGAAAATTTGACTATGTGAGGCTGCGGCCTTGGAAGGGGCCTGGGACAGCAAAAGGCCCTGGAGTTATCACTTTACTAGCTTCGCAGTTCATTGGCATCTAGTTACTGGCACTGCTTCAAACCACTGGCTAACTCAATCTGCGAAACACTGCATGAGCTGCCCTTTCTGAGCCGTGCTATTACGCAGATTCCACGAACCAATAATGTATGAGGTTGGTATTTTCTTGCTTTTCCTACTTTAAAGGTTGGAAGAAACTTTTTAAAGCTGGCACTACCTTAAAGAGCTCTGCCCTGGCCTTTCACAAGAGGCTTGGAGTCTGCATCCTGGGACCCTTCTTGTTACCCATTAGTACTGCACATGCTATGACTTTTTACCGCACTGTGGTTTGGCTTAGCTGTTAACATGATTTGTGCTTTAAGGGGTGACGATGTTGAGGTGCATTGAGCCATTTCTCATGGATATACACATATATATGAGAGGTATCCTATTGCTTGAGCTAATGATCCTCCCTTCTGAACTTGCTTTCTTATTCTGTGATCAAAACATCTGTATGTCGCCCACATTGGTAGACCCAAGAATTGCGACTTCTGCAGTTCCCGGTCACTATCTTCTTTCAGGGTTTCTTTTTTTTCTTCTAATCACTTTGCACTGTAGTCCACAGGGCTGAGTTGTCACCTTCAAAATAAGGTACTGCCTAAAGTCACCCCCAAGTAATTAAATTGTTCATCTCGGGGGTGGCTCCATAGTGTAGTGGTTAGCACATCTGCTTTACATGCAGAAGGTCTTGGGTTCACGCCCCAGGTGGAGCCATGGACCATACCCCAGGTGTGCCAGGCCCCAGGTATGTACCGTGAGCCTGGGGGAGGAGACACCCCAACCTCAGAGATCCAGTTCTTAAGGGGAGATGGCAAATCCGCAGGTCAGGGGTGGAAGTGCGGGGGACGGGTGCAGATTAAAGAGCGGGGAAAAAAACTGTTCCTCTCTTTCCATATTATCAATGTCTAGCCCAAGCACACTTGGAATAAGCTTTCGGCATTTGGAGACTTAAGACTCTGTATTTTCTTATGAAATATGCGAAGGCAGCCTTCTATTCTAAGAAACTTTTACCAGGGAGGGATCCAGGGAAAGCCCCAGGGGTCACGTCGAGGTTTTTTAGTTGGGCTAAAAGTGAAAATGATGTAACAAAGGCCTCTTTTAACCTTTATTAACTACAAATACATGCTTAGGTCCCAAGGACGGAAAAAAAAAGAGCAATAATTTGTTTTCTTTACGCAATTATATTATATACGCTTATTCATTCTAAACACGTCTCACTGAATACACAAAACAAACCAGATGCATAACGTCAATTTTTTAACCAGCTCTGCAAATGTTCATTGACTTAGCTTAAGTACTAGAGGCCAAGAGAACATTGATGATGCTGTTTTAATTTGGTAGGTGCCGTTAAGTCAATGAGAGAGATTTAGGGGCAGTCATGACATTGCCCACTCACTATGGGGACATGGGGGCTAAATGGAGGGTCCCCTGAGACTTACCCATCAAGACCTTCCACTCAGTCACCATGGATATGAACTACCAGTTCATATTTAATTGTGAAAGGGCTCTCGCTTGAAGTACCTGCTCCCCAGATTTAAATGGAACTAGAAGTACCAGGTATACTGCAAGCTCTTCAAAACTCTTTTTCCTATGGGAAGGGGTAGAGGGGAGACGTTCAAAACCACCCGGTGTGTCTTGGCCCTAATTCAAGAACATTTAATTACTGAAGTGCCAAAAGACCCTGTTTAAAGTCTGCGTCTCCTATAAGGAGAATCAATCCATAGTAAGGGCCCTGAGGACAGAATTATAAACAACCCCCGGCATATTTTAAGAAAGGTTGCTCTGCGAAATTTCCAAACCACTGATTTCTCAAATACTTTGTAAAATTCCCTTCCTGTGGCATTTGGGGAGAGCCAAGTAAACATCAGAAAGTTTAAGTGCATTTTTTGAAGTGATAAATGCCCGAGCCTCCTCGCAGGCACAGGCGGGGTCTGATCTGTACCCACTCAAACAGATGCCTTTCTCAGCGGCCGTTCGCCTGAGGACTAGTCCTCTGGATAGGCAGGAGCAAGTAATCAGCTCAAAGATGTGCGAAAACAGTTGACAGGAAGTCATACTTCACATTGTTTCATTAACTTAATTGGTCTCTTATTTCTAAATGGCAGGTAGAATGGCTTTAATGCCAAATTTTCAAAGATATTTTATAACGCTCTGGAATCTCTTGATTTCTGTTATGAAAATAGAAAGAGATGGAAAGACCCAATGATGCCACGGGAACAAGTACCTAGAGGTGGCAGAGCTGGATTAGATCATCTCACTGAGGATGGCAAAGGTCAGTGGGATGGAGTGTTCTTTTTTACAGTGTCCCTGGGAAGACAAAAGGGACTAATGCGAGCTCCCTCATTAGGTACATTAGGTACAATGAAATCTGGACTGCAACTAAAAAAAAAAGCCCCCTGTATTAAATGGGTATCACAGAGTCAGGAGCACAACAAAATTGATGTTTCAGGGCCCATTTATACCTTGGCAAGCAAGCCACGGGATTCCCAACTTATTTATGCAAATAAGAGCACACATACAACCTCCCCAAGAGGTGTAAGAAATTTTAATTAAAATGATAAATGCCATCTTCGATAATAAAGTTCTAATGTCCCTGGCAAATGAAGTAACTGATGTACTGCCATTCTCCCTTCCCAGGGCAGCCCAGACATTTTAATGAAAGTCTTTTTATACCTCTCGGAAAATTATTCTTGAGAAAGAATACCACCTAGTATTTGATAGCTTTTTGATAGTGAGGTATCCTCACTAAAAAGCTCAAACATGAAGAGCGAAGACTCTGGAGCCCAATTGCCTACGTTCAAATCTCTATTCCACAGTTACTAGGGGTGTGACATTGAGCAGGCCATGTAACCTCTCTGTGTCTTAGTTTATTCATCTTTAAAATGAGGACAACACTACTACCTACCTCTTAGAATTGCTGTGATCATTAAATAATACATGCAAGTTGCTTAGAAACTGTACCCAGCACAGAGTAAGCATTCAGTATGTATTGGCTAATATATAAATACCACCACCACCACCACCATCACCACCACCATCACCACCACCATCACCACCACCATCACCGTCATCATCACCACCGTCACCATCACCGCCATCACCACCATCATCACTATCATCACCGCCATCATCACCACCATCATCATCACCACCGTCACCATCACCACCATCACCATCATCACCACCACCATCACCATCATCATCACCACCATCATCACCACTATCATCACCACCATAATCATCATTATTTTTCCCAGCACATGAGAAACTGAGTACTGACCTCTTGTAACATATCAGAATCTTCAATAGCTTTGACAGCTAATTTCTTGGATGTTTCTTGAATTTCTCCACCTATTATAAATTCATCCAGGATAAAATAAGCCTTTTCAAAATTAAAGATAATATCCAGCTCACAGACCTGGTAGGACAGAAGAAAAAAAAAAAATGTTTCAATAAACCTGCAGTGAAATCAGGGTAAACATTTGTCAGTGTCTCAAGCTTTTTCAACAGTTACGCCTATGTGGCATACCAAAGATAAAAATATCAGATGGTATGTTAAGGGCAGAAAAATAGAACTAGGGAATTACAGGCCTTTAATAAAAGTAGGAAAACCACATTCTATTAAAGCAGAGCATGTCCTTAGGTAACATCGTTCAATGTCACAACAAGACATATGAGACTCGGCGGAGGAACGAGGCAGCCCTCATCTCATCTTTCGATCTGCACACGTGAGAGCTGAGTCCCCACATCGCGTTTCGGGCGGGAGGGCAGTGCTTTGTTTCTCCTGCTCTCTGGTCTGTAAATCTTGGCTCCTAGCTTTAGGACTCTCGGAAGCCCACACTTTAGAGCTTGACGGTGCTCATGTTTCTCAAAGTGATGTTACAAGCCAGTGGCTTTCAGACTTCAGAATGTGCCCAGATCACCCAGAAGTCTCATTAAAACACATATTGCTGGGCTTCACCCCCAGAGCTTCTGATTCAGTGGGACTGGGCGAACCTGAGAGTCTGAACTTCTAACGGGTTCCCAGGGGATGCTAATGATGCTGGACATGTCAAGAACTACTGTCACTGTCACAGACCAGAGCAGAGTCTGACAGGTTTGGTTAAGTAAAGCAAGTGGCAAGACTTACTACCGCTCCTAATTCAAATAAGGCTCATTTTCAGTTCTTTAACCAGACAGCCACTCGGGCCTTCTCCTTGCTGTTTGCTTCCCAAGGATCCCTCAGGTCCCCAACACTTTCCACACCCTCTTGAAGGTCTGCTAACTGAAAGTTTTCAGTCCCCTCCGCCCCTTACAGCAGCACTGAAGACCCGTCATCCATCTCTTTCTTGAAAATCACCTCTCTTGTTCCCTGACTTTGACAATCCAATTCAATGTCTGTTCTCTTCATCTCTGATGATTCCTTCTCAGGCCCTTTGGATGGTTTATCTCCCTCCTACTTTACATTTGTTTAGGAAGGATTTACGGAGTGCTTAGGACATGTCAATCAGCAAAACGAACATCTCTGTTCCACGTTGCCTACCTTCCAGCGATCTACCTTCTTAAATATTGGTGTTTCTCATAATTCATATACGCGTATTCTCCTAGGCCTACATTTTCTTTGCAATACATGTATTCCCCTAGACAATGTCGTTGACTCTCTACAGCTGTGTCTAGCATACAGGTAGCTTAGCAAACCGAGGTGACTAGCCCTTATCTCCTTCGGAAACGCTAGTGCAATATTTCCACCTGCTAAATAGACATCTCTACCTGGATGTTGCTCAATCCAGGTCACCAGGGACCAAACTAAAGTCAAGCACATTTGTTCTTCTTTAGTCTCTAGTTTCTTTAGTAGGTGCAACTTCTATCCAGCAGCCCGATCTAATGCATCGACAGTTCAACCTGCCTTCCCGCTTCCCCTCATGCCTCTGCCTCCCTTGGTCTCACCCCTCTCAGTTTGGTGACCAATTTCTACTGATTGCACTGTGTACATAAACTCATATTCTCATCCTGTCTTTTCCATTTTCACTGTCACTGCTCAGGTCTGTGACATCTCTAAGCCACTACAATGACCTGGGTAGCATCTGTGCCTGCTCAAGGCCGGTGACCACTAAGACTTTGCTAAAATGCTGATCGTGTTCCCCTTCAGTTTAGGACAACATTTTAGTTCACTGGTATGGCATACAGGACTATTTATAACCCAGCCTGGGCCCTGCTCTCTGGCTTCCTGTGACAGCCCTCACTTTGTGCTACAGCCACGCATTCCACAAACTCACCCTGTTCTTTCATGACTTTTGCCTTTTGCACATTCCAGAAATTTCTGGAATGTTCCTTAAATGTTCTTTTCTTATTCTGCTGATAAAATCAAGCTCGTTTTTCAAGATGGAATTCTAAAGTAAGGGGAACAGTGTGCCCCCCAAATCCTCTTATCTCTCATCGAGTTTGTGCACTAGTATATGTTTACTTACCAATCATCCCCCTGTACTGTGAGATCAGGCACAGACCTTGTCTTAGTCATTTTTATATCCTCAGTATCTGGCACATAGTAGGACGTAAAAAATGTTTGCAGGATAAATGAATATGTCAGCCAACATATAGGCTTTGTTTCTATGATCCTGGGGATTAATGGCTTCTCAGATAAACAATTTTCTGATCCTATTGAATGCTATGACTTTATATAAAATGGATGTCAATATTTTAGCAAATTGCTCCATATATCCAGGATTTAGGTCAATAACCTTGCAGACACCACAGAGAAAATGGTTTATATTGACAGATCCAATTGAATCTAGAAGCATAAGAACAAATGAATATAATACCACTGTAATAAACGGCCAACTCAGAAAAACTCATCTAATTCATCTGCAAAGGTTACAGTCCCTTCACTCATTAGAAAACAACATCAAATCAACAATAAGTGTGTATATATCTCTACATCTCTCTCTCCCCTCCCTCAAGAGTCTCTCACTCTGTCTCCTTCTATCTATATACACACATATGTACATACACAGATACATATATGCGTGTATGTTTATATATAAACCAATTTCAAATAAGAGTCTATCCAGACCTTTAGGGCTCTCTCTTCAGAACAACCATTAGAGAGGATGGCGTGATAAAAGCACATGTTCTCAGCTAACAGACACTCTCTTTTACTTCTAGAACACTCTCATTTCAGGTATTCGAATGATAGTGAAACCTGGCTCCCCAGGCAAAAACTGTGGAGGGATCAGAGTACACTGTGGGCCAGGCACTATAAACAAGGTTAAAAGTATAGAAACAGACTGGGGACAATATTTGCAACATATTATAATGGAGGGGGGTGGAGAACAGTATCCACGATACAGAAGGAATTCTTACAAATCCCTAAGATAAACTTCACAATAGAAAAAAAAAAAAAATGCTGTCAAGAAGTAATTCATAGACAGGCAAGGAATGAAAAAGGATAGTACACATCTAATAAGAGGCAGAGCCTCACCAGTAATCAGTGAAATGCAAATTAAGTCAATTTTCATCTGATAATTAAGAGATAATATCCGTTGCTGGTGAGAGTAAGGACAACTAGGTACTCACAGTCACTGTTGGTAGAATCTACAAGTTTTATAGGCCATTTTGGACAATCGAATTGTAGTATTTGTCAATTTTAAATGTACAAATCTTTTGACCCAATAATTCCACAAGGAATTTATTTCTGTGCTATCCTCAAACCAGGGCACAATAACATATATGTGAACAACAAAAATTATGGAAGCATCATTTACAATAAAAATGAGGAACAGCCCAAAGACCATCCATAAGGGAACTGCTTAAATAGTGTATGGCATACCGTCCCCCACCCCCACACACACTTTGGTATGGGATAGTATACCATAGGAACTCTATTTAGAAGCTGGAAAGAATGAGACATAGATTCATAAGGGGAAAAAGAAAGTTGCAGAATAATATGCATAATACAATCCTTCTTTTATTTTTAAAAGTATATGTCTAGAAGGATATGTAAAAAGATGCATTACTTTGCAATGTTAAACAATCTGGATAAGCAAAAAGAACGCACAGCAGATCCATGCACATGAAAGAAAGTATGAGAAATAAGCAGTTACCAGAGGTCGGAAGAGGCGGGAAGTCGGGAGTTACAGTAGCAAGAGCTGAGGAACCTCACAGTTCCAGGCAGGTGGACACCAGGAATCCAAGACAGACAGGCGCCTCGTTAGGAGAAACCAGCAACCAGAATCCTGCAAAGTGAACCTGACAGATACTAATGCAAGTTCTCGGGGAACTTCTCAGACCCCACTCACAGAGCAGCCACCCATCCCCCAGCCTACAGAGCTCATCAGCAGCCATGGGGCAATTAATTTACTATCCCTTGGTCCAAGGAATAGGGATAAGGTAAGGTGGTATGCAAAGTCAGATACTCGCAAAACACAGACACATACCCATTCATTCAACTTGAATATACAGCTACTATCTCTTGATCATAAGGGAAATGGATACACGAGTTCTAGTGGTATAATAGAGAATGCTCCCAACGAGCAACTATTTCATATACATCAAAATGCTACCCTATGGCTATTCTTGGGGTTAGACTCAGAGTAAGAGAAAACATTTCAGGAGAACCTTAGACCAAATGTAGGTTTCTTTAGCTACTGCTTAATTACTCAAATACTTCTAATTCCATCTTACGGATGCTGTCCCCATACACGAGAAATGTGCCCTCGATACTCAAATGACTCCATTCCATCTAATTATGCAAAAGCACATGGCTTCTATGTACATAAACGCATGAGCCTCTTTACTTAATTTTTCTCATTTTCTCGTGTACCTATATTCTGGAAGACAGAATATAAAAGCCAGAAATAGTGATAATTTAACTTTATCTTTGATCTCCAAGGCTTGTGCTTTACTGTAATTTGGTTTGAGGGTCTTCTCTCAGAGAAAGATATGCGATGCAGTGAGATTATCCCAGGCATTTCAATGACTAAATCCTTTTAGGCAGAGTCTAAGAAGGACCTTCCCTTACTGAATTCTGTTTTAAATAAATACAAAAGTATCAAGTTATACACAATAAATGTATAAAACTATATGTGTAACAGTCATAATGCAAAGTACAACTACATAGCAATTGACCGTTTATAAAGTATTGGTAATTATACTGTTTCCTTGATCCTTACAACAGCCCTAGGAGGTTAGCGAAGTAAATATTTCTATTAACCTTTCTGCATGTCATTTTTCTTAACTATAAAATGGAGATATATGATGGGCCAACTTATGGGTCTGGTTAGTAAGTAAGCTGACACCAGGATCCAGCTGGACTCAGAATGCTCCTCCTTCTACAGCAAGAAAATCCCCCACATCAAGATCTCTGAGAAAGCAACATCTACACCTTCTGAGTGCGTCAGTGAAAACTCACACGACTGTCTGCAATGGGGAAATATGGCAGGTATCTAAATCCTGAAACAGACCCTTATCTACTAGAAGACTGAGGCGTTTCTCCTTAGCCTCCATAAATTGTGGTTGATACTACTTATTGAAGATCGAAAGATTAACTAGTTAATCTTTGTAAATCTCCTTAGAATTGAAAAATGCTAAAAAAAAAAAAAAAAAATACATAACTTAAATTAGTAGCCAGAGAATCTGATTTATCTGTCATCGGAAGGTAATATTTTCCAGTGTTACAAGAGAAGCTCAATACCAAGTTTGCCCTTAGATAATGTAAATGCAGAATTTGAGGAAATCTTCAGTATTAACACAAGAGGAAAAGAAAACCAAAAAGAAATATTCCGGAGACGATGTCAATGAGACGCAGTACTGGTAGGTTTTGCTCATCACTGTTAATTAATAAGAATTGAACACCTACTGGGCAGATAGCCCTCGAGTTGCTCCTAGCTGCTCTTAGCTTGATAAAAGATTCATAGAATTTTTTAGTGAATTAAATTTTGGTTCCTGACAAAGACACAGCTTCTAAACGTATGCCAAAATTGGATGAAAAATTAGTGTTAGCGAAATAGGAATTCATTCTGATTCTCCTTGTACTTTAACTGAGGCTGGTGCTGGTGAAGGGGATTCGCATTCTCTTGAGAAAGCCATGTGTTCTGAAACACCTGAAATTTGGTCCCATAAGATCGAGATCAACACTCAGCCCCACGTCACAGTATCATAGTTGGATTAATCTAGGAAAACACAACAGGTCCAACCAGAGTGCAGAAATGAGGGGGGGAATACAAGTTCCAGGCAAGCCTCAGGACAACTGCGTCAGGCCTTCACGGAAGGCCCAGTGTGGCGTTTATTGCAGAAGACAGCACCAAAATGTCGGGATAGTTTTCAATAACAGAAAGCATAAAATGAAATAATCTAAAATATGAAAATAGGCTATTATGCGTTTGCAAATTTCTCTTTTAAAAATGAAAATAAACGGTGAACCAAGAGAAAGAGAAAGAGAAGTGATCTCGCTCTTTGATTCCTTCTGTATGCTGAACAACGACCAAAGTTCCGGGAGCAACATTGGAGGTTTTGTCATAATTTGCAAAAGGAAAAAAGAGGAGAATAAAAGGGAAGGGGGAGAAGGCAGGAAAATTCTCTCAGAAACCTTTTAAGAGCTCATCCTATAAAAAGCGTGGCAACGAATCTGACAAAACCCCAACCAATACTGCAAATGCTGCTCATTCCATTAAATAGAATACAGAAAACTCTTCCAGAAGCAAATTCTCCTAACAACACTTAATAAAAATCTTCAGTAAGCAAGCGAATAGGGAAGAGAGTATTACTGAGAAAAAAAAACAAAAAACATTTTCCAAATGCAATGATTTATTATTTAGAGTGTGAAATTAAACGCGTCAGGGATATCTGCAAAAATCTGGCCTAGAGCTGGTTACAAGTGTTGAAAAAACAAATAAATAAGTCTTGGGTCATGATCTTGACAGACTTGCAGTTTGGTGGTCAAGCGAATTTTGTACAAGTTAAAGATAATACCAGGCTGGTCCATGTCACGGGAGCACTGGGTATGTCAGGCTGGTCCATGTCACGGGAGCACTGGGTATGTCAGGGATGTAACGAGAGAAAAGCGAGAAAGCAGGAGAAGAGGCCTGGGACCAATGTTTAGAAAGCTTGACTGCCAGGCTAAGAAGCTTAAATTTTATTCGTTATAGATGGACAGTGACTGAGGAGGAATGTCACCCAGGATCTGTGCCTTGTGAGATGGCCACCGACAGGCCAGGCGAGGGCCAGAGATGAGGTTTAAAAGAGAAGGAAGAGTGTAGCTCCAAGAAAACCTAATCTAGTGAGAGTGGCAAGAAGGAGATGAATTTTAGTTCAATTCGAATAAAGGCAGATTTTAGTAAAGGCTGGAGAAAGATAACGGAACACTGTTCTTTTGCACTGAAGGACCCTGGGACATGATAAATTCAATCACAAGACAGAACACGTTTTCAGAAGATGTCTGGTTCTTGAGATGACTATGAAAAGTCCAGAGAAGATTGTCATCAGGAAAGTGAAAAAAAAAATTCACCTGAAACGGATCTCCAGGAGAAAAAGTTAAGTGGACACGCAAGAGAGTGGGAAGAGCAGGTGGTCATTTAGAGAGAGAGAATTGGGACACCTCGTATAAGATAGTACTTGGCAATAAATGCAAGGAGATGCAATAACAATGTGAAGGGAAAAGGTTTTGGTTTTGTTTGATGGTGTTTTTTTCTTCGATATAAACAACATTAAAGAATACATGTAACTTAGTCAAAGAAGCCAGAGATGCAACAAAAACTCAAAAGAGAAGAGAGATGACAGTCGATGAGGAAGATGGGACCTCTTAATATTAAGGAATCCTTCACGATTCAATTCTAGTTCATGAAACAAAGTCTCTAGTGTGGTTGTGATCTAAAGATAGAGACACCTCCTGCCTCTTGAGTTTTAAATCTATCATTTACTAAGAACTACCGAAAGGAGGGAAAGTCTTGTATCTAGATCCTTGGTACAAATGCAATTCATATTTTAGACTTGAGAGAGAGAAGGAATGTGACAAAAGACAGAACCGAAGTAAGAGCTGAAATGGAGACCCATGGATTTTAATAGACCAGCCACTTACATTTCCAAAGTATTTGTCCAGCAACTCCACATAACGATGCACAGTCTCTAGTGTCAACAGCTCATTGTCCTGATTTTCAATTGCACAGCAAAAATATAAACTAGCATACCTTGAAAAGAAAAAAAAAAATACGATGACCCATTAAACAACATGAGCATGTTTTTCCCCAGTGAATATGCAGTTACTTCTTGCTCTCTAGAGACTCTCCCCCATTCAAAGTCCAAGAATAAAATCATTATTCATCACATCCTATATCTTCCCCAAATGTGAAACTAAATATATAAAAATACTGGGTGATTGGATTGTTGCTGTTATTTATGTGAAAGTTCCTCAATAAAATTTTATCAGAGGGACAGAGTCCTTTGGCTCACAGTAATCAAGGTGTCTGCTCATGCCCTTCTCTGGCTTGTGGATCGTCCTTTCTAAATTCCAAACTTGACCAATGGCCCGCCCTCTCACTGTGCACTGGTCTATAGCCATTCTGTGTCTCCATCCTCAGCTTGCCAAGTCCCATGTGTTTCTTCTGCCTAAAATACTCTTCCCTACCCCATTCGTATGGCTAACTCTCACTTCTCCTAAAGCTCTGAGCTTGGATGGCACATTCCTCCAGGAAATGTCTATCTTCTCTGACTAGATTCGATGCCCCAGTTATGCATCCCATGTCTTCCCCCCATCAGTGCATCTAGTCTCTTCATTGTCCATGCCGTGGTCTGTCCCTCCCCAACAAGATCAGTGGCTTCCCAAAGGCAAGTACTGTCTCTGCCTCGTTCACAGTTATATTCCAAGTACGTGTACTATCTGTTGAGAGAACCACTGAAGCCTATTCTTTACACGATGGTTGAAAATACAATTGAACCCAAAGTTTTAGAGAACTAGCAGGCAGAGAATAGGGGCAAGCTTCTTGTTGACAAGTACTAAAAGTTTTGACCTTGGATCCAGCTGAAGGAGCTTTGCCCAGGCACTTCCATTTGCCCATAGATTAATGGTAATTTAATCCATTAAATATAGTCTGCAGAGGTTACTTTTGTCTTTCCCCTTCAGGTTTTATAAATATCCCTTGCAAGAGCCTCTCTAGTGTACAGTTTCCATCTGGAAGTTGCAAAAGGATGCTGTATGCAGGATCAGGCCAGCTGTGTTCTGGTCCTGGCTTAGGCATCAGTTACTGGGTCTTTATGGGCATAATTACTTTATCTCTTGGGGGCCTCAGTTTCCTCATCTATAAACAAGGTTCCTTTCCAGAATGGACGTGCTATGGCAATAAAGGTACAATAAAGAGAGAACATACAGGCGTTAAAGCCAGACAGATCTGGGTTTAAATTCTGGCTCTGACAATTACCACTCATTACTGTGATTGCGGACTAGTTACTTAAACATTCTGTGGCTTCAGTTTCTTCATCTGCAAATATGAGTCATGATAACAATAAAAAGAGCTGCCATCTCTGTACCATACTAATCTGCGTTTTTCCCATAATATTTCTTACTAACTGAAAATGTTTCGTTTACGTAACAAATGAGTAAGATCTGTGAGAGTAGGAATGTTCTGTGCTTATTCACTACCGTATCCACAGCCACTAGAATGGTGCTGGGAATACAGCAGGTGCTCATAAGCTATTTCCTGGATACATACGTGCATTAGCAACATGTAGGGGAAGTAACTAATATCCATCTGGCACATGAAAGGCCTTTCAATAAAAGAGAGTTCCTTCTTGGTTGGTCTGTTGGTACAGACACTCGAGCTGCAGTCTTCAAAGATTTCACTACATGATGAAATTGGTGTTGCAATCTAAAATGTTCAGGATAAACAAACCAAAGCAGTAACGAGAAATTCAGTTCTCATAAAGTTACTCACACCTTTTATAAACAAGTTTTAGCTCTTTCCAGTCAATAAAACTGCTTGTCCTGTGACCACGAGAGAGAACAATCTGAATAATTTCCCGGGTGATCCTTTTCCTTTCTTTGTCAGGGAGAGTCGTGTACCATTTCTGTAGCCGTAATTTCCCTTGTCGACTGAAGAGCAATATGAAATGTATCTAGAACAAATGAAGGACAGAAAAAAACAGAACTTGGTCAACCAAATCATTCTACCTAGACACTAAAACTCAGTTGCAGGGTGTAAATGATTATAATTCTGAACAGATGAGAAAACACTCGCTAGCCTGAAAACTGTCTCATCTCTGAAATTATATTTAACCCATCAGAGAACAAAAAATTGGGTGAACCACACACATAGCTTATTTATATTCTAGGGGAAAGATAAGTTCTTTTTAAAATTCCTTTTTATGAATCACAAATTCAGTACAGGGAGAAAAATGTGTCAAGGAAATATATAACTCTTTTAAGAAAGCGTTCAAATCTTTTGTCACAAGCCAAAAAAAAAAAAATGTAAAAATAGAAGAGTTTATTTAAAAATTACATCCCAGTTCCCTACCACAACTATAGAAACATAATGGTAACAGAAATAAAAGAGAGAAATAGGGGAAGGAATTGAGGATAAAGCAAGGAGGAAAAGTGAGAAAGCGAGAAAGGGACCATATTTTAAGACTTTTTAAAATAAGAATTGTACGTATTTAAGTTGTAGAACATGATGATTTAATATACATAGTAAAGTGATTACTACAATCAAGCTAATTAACATATCATCAACTCACATAATTACCATTTTGTGTGTATGACAGCATCTGAAATATACTCTTTGAGCAAATTTCCAGCATTCAGTAGAGTGTTAAGTACCGGCATCACGCTGCACATCAGGTCTCCAGACTTGCTCACCTTATGCCTGCGACTTTGTACCCTCTGGCCAACATCTCCGCATTTCCACCACCTCCCCACTTCCAGTAACCAACTTTCTACTCTCCGCTTCGATGAGTTTGACTCTTTTAGATTCTACATATAGGTGAGATCACTCAGTATTTGTCTTTCTGTGCCTGGCTTATTTCATTTAGCGTGTTGATGTTTTTTAGGTTCATCCATGATATCACAAATGACATGAACTCCTTCTTTTTATGGCTGATTGATTTTCCATTGTGTGTGTGTGTGCGTGTGTGTGCGTGTGTGTGTGTGTGTGTGTGTGTGTGTGTATCACACATGCTTTATCCATTCATCTGTCAATGGACATGTAGATTGATTGTGATCTTGTCTACTGTGAATAATGCCACAAAGAACTTGGGAGTGCAGATATCTCTTCAAGATATTGATTTCATTTCCTTTGGAAATACATCCAGAAGTGGGATTCCTGGATCAGATGGTAGTTCTATCTTTAATTCTTTGAGGAACCTCCATACTGTTTTCCATCATAACTGTACTAATTTCCAGTTCCACCAACAGCGTTTAAGCATCCCCATTTCTCCAGATCCTCACCAACACTTATCTTTTGCCTTTCGTTATTGTCCTCCTAACAGATGTGAGGTGATATCCCATGGTGGATTTGATCTGCATTTCCCTGATGAGTACTGATGATCGTCTTGTCATATACCCGGTGGCCATCTGCATGTTTTCTTTGGAAAAATGTCTATGCAGGCCTTTTGCCCATTTTTAATCCAGGTTATTTGTTTCCCTGCTATTGAGTCATTTGAGTTCCTTGTGTATTTTTGGATATTAATGCTCTAACGGATGTATGTTTTCTTCCATTCCACAGGTCATCTCTTTATTTTGTTGATTGTTTCTTTTGCAGTGCGAAAGCTTTTTAGTTTGGTGCAATCCCATTAGTTATGTTTTTGCTTTTGTTTTCCGTGTTTTTGCAGTCATACCCAAAATATTATTGCCAAGAAGCTTTTTATTAATGTCGAGAAGCTTTTTTCTTGTTTTCTTCTAATAATTTTACAGTTTCAGGTATTACATTGAAGTCTTTAATCCCCTTTGAGTTGATTTTTGTATATGCCTGTATATATCCAGTTTTCCCAACACCATTGATTTAAAAAAACTGTCCTTTTCACATTATGTGTCCTTGGCATCCTGTTGAAGATCAAATTGTCTTAAAGGTAAGCTCTTAACTTACTTTATATGTTACTTGGCTGAGAACTTGAGAATCAACAATCTCAAGTTACAACTGTCTTTGGCATCAAAATAGATTCTTAACAATTTAGATAGTGTGTAGGCTACATTAGGAAGCAACCTGATCTTACTTCCAATTACATTTCAAATGTTTTATTTAAAAGGAAACGTTCGTGTTTAAATGAATTTTAAAATCTTTAAACGAGTGGAAGACACTGTAACAGGTCAAAATTGACTTTGATACCTTCGAGGTATAATAGATCTGCTTTTCAGAAATTGTGAGATGGTCTGATCTTTATTTTATGGGAAATTAAGTTTTATCAATCCACAGTATGAGAAGATCACATTTAGAATCATAATTTATTTTGTTGAGTTTGTTGTGCTTTGTTTTTTTCTTTAAATAATAAACTTTATTATTGAGGTTAAGGACTAAAATATACTGGGGACCAAAATAATGAATTTTTAAAACTTTTTACAAATAAAATACTCGACTCCTTTAATTGAAGAGGTTTGGCTCTGAATGTCATGGCATAAGTCATACAAACTCAATAAATAGGTGGTGACATCTGAGGGCCCCCCCCAAAACGGGCTCTTTCCTTGGAGCTTCCACTACCCTCAAACTATAGAATTTGAGGTCTTCTTAATAAGCTATCTTCTGTCTTAGAAAGGAAACATCTTATAACAAGGACTTGAGGGCTAAGACACAGCAAATTAAGAGAAAGCAAGTTAAAAAGCCCTGTTCTCCTAGCAGCTTTAAGAAAATTCACTCTCTGACTGGGATTTTAAATATCTGCTTAGAGCACAGCACCTTCTCACATATCTATTTCATTATGAGAGCAGGTATGGATAATTCAATGATGGAATACTGTTCCTATTTTCTAAGAATCACATTGAGAAAGGTAGTTTTGCTTCTAAGAAGAGACCACCATAAAAGTGACATTCTAAGAGTACAAAATTGAATAATGATAGAATAATAAAACCTCAAGATTTTGAGAACAAAATTCAGTTTTGGATTATTACCAATGGGTAAAACTATTCAATCTGATGTCTAGTGATGTCTAGAATGATGAGATTTTTACTAGAAAAGTGAAATCCACACATTTTCTCAGCATTCACTTTGCTTTTCCTGTCGGAAAATGTTCCTCTTCCCATTTAACCTAAATCTCTTCTGTTACGATTTAAACCAATTTTCCTTGATTTTATCCACAGAATACATAAAAAAATAATAAATCACTATCTTTGGAATAACAACTAACTTCACATATTGTAAGACAGCATTTAAGTCTAGCTTGAATTTTTTCCTTTCTGAAGAAATAACTCTGGTTTCATGTCTTCTCTTTTTTGGTTGATGATGTCAAAATCATCATTGTTGTGATTCTTCCAGATTTCTCCACCGGCTATCTGTTACTTTTAATTTGGGGCACTCAGATCAATGCCACAGTTCCAGTGACAGGCTGTAACTATTGCCGAGTTTCAATGGAGAACACTTTCCAGTTCTTTTACCTTGCAACCTTCTCTCAAGATCAGGTGTTTGTCCTTTTAAACAATGATCGACAATGTATAACAGCAAACAAAGAACAATTTTTTTCTTCATTCTAACAAGGAATTCAAAGAAAAAGGATGATATGTGACAACACATGTATCCATAAAGTGCAACCGAAATATTAAAATGCATTCCCAATTGAAAAGAAGCAACAAGTAGGTTCAAGTTTACCCAATAAATTGCATTGCATAGGACAGTGTCGAAAGATTTAACCCTCTCAAGTACTGCTCTGGTGCCTGGCGTCTGTTTCATCTCAAGATATAGCAGTGTAGCTTGAGAGATCTGGTAGAGTGAATCACAGTGATTCATAAGAGTTCATCACCTCCAGCAATTAATTTTATCCAAATATCAGTTTAGTCATTCAAGGCATATTTGAATAATATGTTTTAAGAGGTTAATCAAATACCAATTTTGATTAGCATTAGGTTGAGGGTTGCGGAGGAGTGGGGAGGGGAGAAGGCAATTGGGAGGTTTTTCTTCAGTAATTACAAAGAGCCAACTTAAATTCAAGTTGATGTCATAAACAAACTTCATCTGACTTTGGAAAAACAACCTCTGGACGTTTCCTTTCAATAGCGTTGGTGAGAAGAAAGGGGTGATGATGACTCTGACTGGTAATACCGACAAACGCCAACTCCAGAAATGACCATAAAACCCAGCGACGCATTGAGCAGGGCTGACTGCTTACATTTGGCTCATGTGCTTTGGCCTCAAGTGAGCATCCAACTTCACCAGTGGCGCCCACCCCTGGCTCAAACAGAGCCACCTCTGCCAGCGGCCCTTTTGAAGGGTCTGGTTCTATCCTGGATGATCCTTCAAATCTAAACTTATAAGATTAATCCAAGCTCTCTTCATCCTCAGAGTGTCCTCTAGAACAATCCTTGACTTAACTGGGCACAGCCTAAAATTCTCACTTAGACTCAACACAAACTACTCTGGGTGTTTTCTTCATCATGTGTCTTTGAAGCATGTCTAGGATAAGTCTTTGAAGGGAGCACAAAGCAGCCCAGTAGCAGACCAATCTATTTAGTCTGCTGGTCTGAAACCCGTATTAGCATCTTCCTTCCAGCTGAAAATAAATAGTGAAGGCTTCCAGTAGCAGCTTTGGTTCTCAATGTTTGCAAATCTCCTTCTTCCTGATCCGAACCCATGCAGTGGATCCACGACCAGCTTCCAAGAAGAGGGGTATCCAGGAACTTTTTCCTGTCCCCAACACTGTCACGTCATGAACACCACTTTTTTGGAACCAGCTTGTATTTCAGGGTCTGAGCTACAAATATAAAATATATAGAATATGTTCCTTTCCTCTAGTTCCATCAACCTGACAGGCCCTTCCTCTGGTGGCCCAGATTCCGTGATACATCACTTAAACAACACTATTGCTAGAGTTCTCACTTCCTTTGCCCCTTTTCCAACTTCTGCAGCCACTCTGCAGATTCCCAGCCCAGATTAGCCCATCCATTCTAATCTTTGCTTCTATACTAAGGCATCAGGCAT